GCATATTTAAAACTAGTTGTGTTCCAGTGATTTCGAATATAATACCTAGTGTTTTAGTGTACAATTTTAACATTTTTATGCTCAAATTTTTTGTGACCATCAAACTATAAATTTCGGGTTTCGTCATGCATAAAATGAACGAACAATTCACAAATAATTCAATATATTTCGTAAACAATCACAACATATATTTCAACTGATAAGACAAATAAAAAGCTATAGAAACTAGAACAATGTATAAACGAACAATATTTTACTCATATCATAATGAGTAACATACCAATATGTGTTCAAAATCACCTCAAATTTGAATAAATCCAATCCCAAAAACTAGTTAAAAATTTATGCATGGGGAACAAGCACAGGGGGCAGAAAAGTACGATTGTGTTTTGTAAATACCTTGTCATCGACCAATATCCCATATTTATATCACAACAATCCGAAGACAAAGTCATAAAAGAATCAAAATTAGCTGATTTTTATATTTTCGAAAATATCGAGCCTTCTACTTCATGTAATTTAAACATCATTGCATTGCAACGACAATTTCCGAACATCTTACGAAAGGATGCCGAGGGTGTAGCCCGTGTAAAAAGCAAGTCAATCGTTCTAGTATGAACCACTGTGTAATATAGTATAGCTCCTCTCTCCTCCGCAGAGGCTTTAGTTCTCTTAGGATTTAATATTACGATGAGATACATTTCACTACACTTTACATGGCGGATCTTGGAGAGGTATAGCTCAGTGGTATGAACCCACGATAGTATGGTAATACAATGTTTGAATTACATGAAGTAGTAGTAGTATCGAAAAAAAATTAAAATCAACATACTTTTCATCGTTTGAAACCTGGATGAAACTATGCGATATAGACGATATATAGGACGATGACAAGGTATTTTAAATAAACACAATCGTACTTTTCTGCCCCCTGTGGAACAAGCAGTTGTGCCAATGTTTAGAGACCTTACTGAAGAAACTAACATGTGCAATATAAATCTGTATTTCTAGACCATTATTACTTGTTGAAAAACAAAATCTCAGGACTTTGATTTTTTTCATAAAAGTTACACACAACTGACGTTACGGAAGACGAAAAACGACATATGCATTAACCCCAAATTTTATTTCATTAAAGTCTTTTAGTATACTCAATTTCAGCCATTCTGTTGCAATTTATCGAGTAGAAGAAAGAGTAGAAGGCCTGCCGTATCTATCATATTGAATGCATATTACAAACATGGAATGGAAAATTATTGGGTTTTTAGGCTAACTTAGTCAACCCTGTCAAAGCCATGATTTCAGTAGTGTTTTTGACGAAAACACTTACTTAGTACTAATCAAACATCTAATCTTCATGGTAGTATCCATATTGTCACAAAAGATACTTAAACCCAGTGAGTGGCAAAATTATACTTTGGTTAAATTTCTCGATTTAGTTCAATTTCAGCACATATAAATGCCGGGAAATTCCGTCACCACGTTTGGGTTTACCGTAAAATTGTGGCAAAAATAATCTTTTCGCTTTTGCTTAAAAGGCGAGTATATTTAACTGATTTTTGATAAGGTTGTTTTTTTAAAAACGTTGTATTTCGTATCTAATATAATACCTCAGGCTTCTGTGGACGCAACCATATGAGTAGGCATAAAAATGCATGTGACCCAAAGGTCATTTTGAATTTGAATTATGATTAATATTTTGACTTTAAATATTCTTTTTGAATTGTCATGTAATCGAGTATTCTGAGAAAAATCATTTTATGAAATAAAATTTGAGCCAGAATGAGTTTCAATTTATATCAATTGTTATTAAACTTTTACTCGAACTTTAAATTGTCTTGTAATTGAGTATATACAAAGATAAATCATTTTATGAAATAAACTTTAGGGCTAACATACTCTTTGGACATCATTGTTGCCAAACCCTTCCGATGTTATTTTACATCAGTAGGATACTATTTTTCAAAAAGTAACAATTGCCCAAAAATACAGTTCTTAATTGCAAATTTTCCAACCCAATCTTCCACAGTACTATTCAGCCCCGACCACGGACACTGCTTTTTTTATTATTTATTATCGTTACAACTTGAATCTAAAGGCATTTGCCAGAAACGCACAATTCAAATTGCAAAATTGTCAATTTTTTGTTTTCGCAATTTTGTGAATTATTATAAAGTATTTTACGTTTCATGTGAGTGTCGTATATTGCGCAGTTTGGACGCTTCTAAACTGTCTAACTCCCTAACTATTTTGCGCACGCGGCGGACCATATTATCCGCATGCAACCGCCCTGAAAAGGAATATCCCCGAAGATATTGAGCCGGAATAACCGCCATAAGAGAGGGGACCTAGTCACTGGTAGCGGACTATTTTTTCATGAAGTAAGACCGGCTACCAGGAAAATACATGCTTTACCTTACTACGGGAGAGAAAATGTTTAAAAAAACTTTGCCACCATAATTGTCTTATTCTCGCCGATCCAAACGACCAACATGATTTCCACCAAGTCTTCTTACGGGTACCATTTGCACCCTCTAAGCTATGGGTACCATTTGTACCCCCTAACCCCAAGACAAACGATGCCAGTTTTTTGACAAAAAAGGTTTAGGCCCCGTTTACATGAGACCGGGACGAAAATTGAAATTGACAATATCTTTACATGAGACCGGTACGAAAATCACAAAATTTTCAAGTTATTCCCCTTGCCAGGGCAATTTTCTTTTTCAGATGGCTTATGTTAGCATGTGTTGTTCCAATGTCAAGGTTACAGCCGAGACCGGTCTGAAATGTATTTCTGTTTACATTCATCCCCGTCTGAATTCATGCCGGTCTGAAGTCAGTCGGTTCGGTTCAGCAGGCGGAATGACTTGAGACCGGTCTGAGTTATTTTCGTCCCGGTCTCATGTAAACATCTATTATAAATAATACTGTGACCGAAACGAAATGGTCCCGGTTTGACTTCGTTCCGGTCTCATGTAAACAGGGCCTTAGATGAGGAAAGTGACAAATTTCTTTTTCACTAACAAGCGACAAGATATTACAAAGAATCAAACAGCAATTTCCAATCGTTGTTCTATTTCGAAAGACAAAACTCTGGCAAAGCTTTTCTTGTACACATCCTGCCTCATGACCCTGTCTAAACTGTTGCGTTGCTGCACTTGTTATGCGTGTGCACAAAGGCAGTATATATAGAATATATATAGAACCATGCAATAACCATACACTCAAATGTTCCTTTTTTCTTCCAGATCGGTTATCAAATTCAGAAGCTGACGAATTTCGAAAGTACAGTTTTTGCAGAGAAAATCATCGTTATAAACTTTCTTTCAAGCTATCAAAGTCTACTGAACAGAAAATAGATCGAATTTGTAAATGTACTGAACATTTAGACCGCCAGGATTTATGCCGGATTTCATTGTACCCAGAACAAAAAAAAACAAACAATGGCCTGAATACAAGTATCTACAGCCTGTTCGCAGGCAAACAAGAAAGAACAGTACCTGAAAATAGACATTTCTGTGACCTTTGTATGTCCATCGACTGAATATCCATTACGGGGCCATATTTATCCATCATAGTTTCTTTGTATCCATTTATTATAGTCACAAATATCCACTGTTGGCCATGAACATTTATCAATCCTTTCATTTCATCCGAGAACTACTGTCTTTGGTGTATTGTTGTAATTTGATTAGAAATAGAGGTATTCCCTCATGTATTGCTCTTCGAGGCATGTCATCTTGGTAACATGATATTTTATAAATCAATATTTCATCAGCACGTTCAAGTAATGATCTGTAAAACAAAGCAAAAAAAAATTCAGATATAAAACTTAAACCATTTTGCTACAAAAAAAAATTTAACCATTAGGTTGTACTGTGCCCTGATGTATGCTCTACTTGAGTATTTTACTGTCCAACGCTAGACGATTTTATGCTTCATAATGAGACTGCCCATGTGTCTAGTTACCCATTAATTAACTGCCAGTGCACCCCCTGCTTAATAAAATTGTATGACGTTAGACAGAGTTAAATAGTATAAGTAGGAAAATTAGAGTGCAAATCAACTTAATGGCTAAATGTGCTGTTTACATGATCCCAGTTTGTCATGCAGGACAGGATGAAAGGTGGGATGATTTTAATGCACTGAAATAAGTCACTAGGTTTGAACAAAAAAGTTGTAAACAACTCTGCATAATCTCAGATAAAATTTTCCAAGGATACACTTAATTGCCTTTGCACACATTGTTGGTGTATAGTTATTTGTCAAGCCAGCCAGGTAGTTGAATTGCTGTTCTCTAAGATAAATAGGATTAACTCCTTAAGCTGCAAAGGAATTCAAATGTCTGATATCAGATCATTTTACTCATCAAGAGGAAAGTCTTGTGCATCAGATGGTCCCATGCAAGATGCTTACAACTTGAGTTGCACTGTGCAAATCAAGCACACAACCTCCCTATTTTGTCGCAGGTGAGTGTAAATTGGTCTGGAGGTGGTTCCCTACTAGGGTTTTATCCCTATATATATATATATATATATATATATATATATATATATATATATATATATATATATATATATATATATATATATATATATATATATATATATATATATATATATATACACTGGATCCAGAAAAGTTTGACCTTCGAATATATATATATGTCGGCCATTTTGAATTTTCTTTGGTTAATTATACGCGAACGCATACATCAAATGTCGCTCGCAACGTATTGTATATTGCAATATTATTCCAACAGCTCAAATGAATAAAAGAATCATTGATTGATGTTTTTGCACATAATCATAATGGCTAGTAGGAAATGAACATTTGGAAATGAACATAGTGACCTGCTTCGCCAGGTCACGAATGCTGCGCGTGCTGAGTTTCAGGGGATGAAATATCGAATGACTATCGATTCCGTTAAAATTTCCGTTGGCAAAATGTAATAATTCTGGACGTAGGTTACAGCTATAAAATAAGCACAAGTGAATACGAAAGAATAAACAAAGAAATTCATCGAGGCATGCTAATAAGCGTCTAAATCTCTAAGGATGCAAAAGAATAAATTACGAGATGCCAAAAAGATCAGGTTCCAAATTGTGACAAGAGTTAATTAGCTAACAACCCTCAAATGTTCATTAGATAGCTACTACAAATATGTGTAAGAACTTCAAGCAATGATCCTTTACTTATTTGAGCTGTTGGAATATTGCAATATACAGTACGTTGCGAGCGACATTTGATATATGCGTTCGCGTATAATTAACCCAAGAAAATTCAAAATGGCCGACATATATATATATTCGAAGGTCAAACTTTTCTGGATCCAGTGTATATATATATGTATATATATATGTATATATGTATATATATGTATATATGTATATATATATGTATATATGTATATACATATACCAAATATGTATTTAGAATCATATATGAGTAGAGTGCTCGATATACCGACGTATATAGAGCTAATATAGTCTATCTATCTATTTATCTATCTATATATATATATATATATATATATATATATATATATATATATATATATATATATATATATATATATATATATATATATATATATATATATATATATATATATATGTTAATCAGCGTAGGAAAGTATTTTTTAGTGAACAGGAAAAGTTGGGACTAAGTCGGATTCGAACCGGCGACCTCTGGGTTACAAGCCCAATCGCTCTACCAACTGAGCTATCAGCCCGATGGTATATACATACATACATACAGCGATATATATTATACACTTAATGTCTGCTCCCGAGGGAAATAGTTAGTTTTGTTTTTCCGAGAGTCTCAATGTTTCCCGAGACGACGTCGAGGGAAACACTGAGATTCGAGGGAAAACAAAACTAACTATTTCCCGAGGGAACAGACATTAAGTGTTTTGTTATATAGCGACGAACAAAAATCAACTTCAACAACATTCATATAGAACAATTGTTTTTCGTAGCAAAAACTCTATAGAGTAAACGAGTTTAAAATTAAAGTACCTACTTAAACGGTTTTGGCAGCATATCCTGTTTCCTGTTCTGTATTTTTCTTCCCTTTTACATTCTTTATTTTAACACAAACTTGGAAAATCCTAGTTTCTAATTATCGTAGTTGTGCCGCCATTTTGTTTATTTATGTACGTGGCCGGTCGGGCGGGCAACAATTTTTCACTTGTTGCCCGGCGGGAAACATTGCATTTATCTGAAGTCACGTGACCACAAATCAGCCAATCACGTTTGGTGTTCACGCTAGCTATATAACAAATATATATATATATAACAAATATATATATATATATATAACAAATATATATATATATATATATATATATATATATATATATATATATATATATATATATATATATATATATATATATATATATAGTCTGCGCGCAGGCTATACGTTTACAGGCTGCCTTTTGTCGGGTAATTTGTCAGCAGTAATTTGCAGTCATACGCTATAATGCGATGCGTACACGACAAATCGCAGCGTGTAAACATACCTTTGAGAGCTTTACGAAGTTAGTTCAGTTTATAATGTGTGCAGGAATGATTTTAGTTTTGGTGTTAAATACAAAGATTATCCAGTACATGTCATATAAACTACAAAAGTCTAATCCGAATCCTTTCATCAGAATATATAAGGATACGTTTATAGTATACGTTTATATCCGTTGTGACATGAAAAAGCACCTTTAATCTTTAATCTTTAATAAAATTATTTAAACACGGTAGCCTGTTCAGCAGATAATATTTACAGCGCTGGTTTTCAAAGGGCCATGTGTTTACAACAATAATATAAAAAGGACAAAAAGAATATAACTATTTACAATGAATTGATACGGATGAATTAAGTAATTGCCGTTTAAACGACAAAATTGAAAGATTGTTATAATTTTCAATAGTTTCACTTGGAAGTTCGTAGCAGGACTTAGCAGCTCTATACGAGAAACTTCGTTTGAGAAAATTTGTCTTAGGTTTGGGTAGGTTCAATTTAATTTGATTGCTTCTTAGATTGTAATTGTCATTTTGACTTACTGAAAACAATTTTTCAAGGTATCGAGGTAATCGACCAGTTAGTACTTTAAATGTCATTATTAACTGTCGTTGTTTTAGAAGTTCTTCTATTGGAAGCCAATTAAGACTATCTAGCGTTTGCATGGAACGAACCTCGTATGTGTCCCCTGTTATCACACGCGCTGCTCTCTTATGCAGTATAAACAATTTATCAATTATCGAACAACATCCATCATTCCAGATTGTTGAACAATAATTGAAATGAGGCCACACTAAGGCATTGTAGATTTTTATCAGACTATCTCTATTGACAAACAATTTTGCTCTTTTCAGCAGGGCGATATTATTTGAAATTGTTTTACATTGCATTTCATTATGTTTATTCCATTTTAGCTGGTCGTCAAGGATCATGCCTAGTGACTGTTTTTGATAAACTCGCTTAATGTTGTTTCCCCCTAATGTTGGTACTGGGCTATTTTCAATTGAAGCTAAGCGACGTCTTGATCCTATTATCATAAATTCACTCTTTTTCATATTTAATGAGAGCTTGTTAGCTGTCAACCACCTATGAACATTTTCAATGTCTTTATTAAGTTTGATCTCAATTTCATATGGACTAAACCCTTCACAAGAAAGGCTTGTGTCATCAGCAAAAAGATTTGCTTTAGTTGTCTCTAAACAGTTAGGAAGATAATTTATGTACAATAGGAATAAAATAGGCCCAAGGTTAGAGCCCTGAGGTATCCCGCATTTTATTTGTCTAACAGCTGACATCTTGCTATTCACAGAGCATATTTGGCTTCGACCAGAAACGTATGATTCGAACCATTTCAGGCTAGTTCCTTTAATACCATATAATTCAAGCTTTGATAAAAGAATATGATGGTCGACAGTATCAAAAGCTTTTTTAAGGCCTAGAAATAAAACTCCGCTAAGTAAACCTCTGTCCATATTGAACAACCATTCATTTGTAGAACTAAGCAGTGCAGTTTCAGTAGAATGTTGATGACGGAAGCCAGACTGCTGTTCCACAAGAGTGCCATTCAACCTCAAGAATGAACTTAGCTGCAGGTATACCAGTTTTTCGAAAAGTTTAGCTACAGCTGAAATAACAGATATTGGCCTATAATTTTCACAGTCTGCCTTATTTCCTTCTTTAAATATGGGGTCACCTTTGCTAATTTCCAATCATTAGGGAAAATTGCTCTTTGAAGGGATACATTGAATATGTTCACTAGTGGTCCTGCCACAATGTTAGATGCATCTTTTAGTAACCTTATACTAATAGCATCAAGCCCTGGAGATTTCTTAGTTTTAATTTCATTGAGTGCATCTATTGTTTCTTGGAGTGTAATGCTTGTAAAGTTGAATATACTACCATCAAGAGGAGTCACAAAGTTCATTGGATCAGTGCAGTTACCTGTGATCTTGTCAGACAACGTACTGCCAATTGTGGAAAAATATTGATTGAAGGCATCTGCAATTTTATCATTGTCAGTAATAAGTTGGCCATTTATATCTAGTTCTTTAACCTCTGAAGTTTTAGGCTTTTTGTTTAATAATACATTAATAGTTCGCCAACTTTCTTTGCTATTTTTAGCATTGCTTAGTTTATCTCTAAAGTATTCTTGTTTAGTTTCTTTTATGAGATTATTTAACTTGTTTTTACATCTCTTGTAAGCCTTATCATAATACGCAGATCTTAATTTAATTGATTGCTTTTTAAGGTAATCCCTACGATAGCTCATTTGCTTAATTTCATTTGTCAGCCACGGTTTATATTCACTCTTGACACGACGTTGTCTGATTGCAATGTGCATGTTTTTTTCAGACAATTATTGTATTTTCAGATATAGTATTTTCAGACAATTATTGCAACGGGGAACGGACATTATTTCGCGCAGCTTAAATCTGCTTCTGAAAGTTGTACATTTGGTATCGGATAGGTGATTTTCCGCGCCGCTACGGAAAGCTATCCGGTATAGTGTAAACAGGGCCTAAAGGTCCTGCACTGCCAAAATATTATGTATAGCATTTTAACATTTCTAGCAAAGGTTATATGTCAGTTATATACATTTAAAACTGTCAATTCTTTATTTCCACTGTTTGGATCTCTTTTTCTTTATTTGTTCTGTACATTTTTCACTGCAGAACCACTTCTGTTTTTTCGGCGGAATTTTCTCTAAATTCATACATTTCCTGAAATATAAATAAAGATTACTTGTAGAAATACACCCACGATATGTATTTAGCTAACTGCTATATGGTATCTGTATCTATATACGTTTTTTATGTACAATTTGTTAACACAGAATAAACATATAGGGAGTTAAAAATATACTTACAGATGATACCACTGTCCGCAATCGTCGCATTGTACCCAGTTTTCTCCAACGATTTCTTCGTCGTCTCCACAAGGACAGTCCTCTCGCGGCTGGATTCTTTTGTTTCCTGCGGATGAGGAAGCTGTTATTTGCATGTTATATTCTATATTCACCGATTTTTCATCGGATAAAATCGTATCATGAATTATA